ACAGCAAACATGGTGGTATAAAAAATCAAAACAAAAAATAATGTAGAAGATATGTTACATTTATTGGTCATCTCTGTATATTTCAATACATATTCAGTATATATCTTATCTGGAACTCTACAATCTTCAATGAGGGCAGAAAAATGAAATATCAAGTGTAATTAATTAATTAAGAAACTCTACAGTTCAACCAGTATCACAACCCTTGTTACATGACAAAAATACTGTTAGGTAAATTAAATGAGAGAGAATGATTGGACCAAAGTCATGGAGTCAGTTTCCAGTTTCCATAGCGAGGATGGGTTTAAACATGATTACTCCAGGTTTAATTCAAAACCTTAACCAGTACACCAGCTCTCAACATTTCATCAATGTATCAAGCCTCCATTCTACAACCTCTTCTAATTTTATGGCACTCTTTATTTTGATTTACTTAAAAGACACATTTTATCCTAATACAAGCGACATCTGTAGTAATTTCATACTGAATACTGTACAGTGCCTTAGAAAAGAAAGACAAAACCTCAGAATTAAATATTTATCTCCATTCCCTCCTGAAACTACTGTTTCAAGGATATCCAGAGAGAAGAACTTCAGAGATCCTGACATGAAAAAAGAGGGAATTGAAAAGCAGAGCTACAATACAGTGCTGCTATCACAAAGTGACCTAGATGATAAATTACAACAGCTAAATGATTTTTAAAAAGATAAATATTTAAATTTAAACTGATTTAATTTAACATGACTGTATAAAGACATTCTAAATATCTCAAGATTCTCTTAAAAAAAAAAAAGTAGCGCTGTTCAATCTGAAAATGCACTGTTAAACCTAAATTATCTCTTTATCATAGCCAGGAGTTCTTAGTCAAGCACACATCTAGATGCCTGCCCACAGAATGGAACTACCCAAAACGTGCTGTTCTGTGCCTTCCTGAAAGAGCACAAAGCCCTCTGAAAATGATTTCTTGAGAACTCGGGATCCTGCTGAGAAGAGCAGATTATGGTATACAGGGCCATGCTCCTCTTCCAGAGATACCTCTATCAAATTTTCTATTTTGCCCTTTCTATCTCAGTCCCTGGTACCAAAGCCCATTTCAGTGTCATTCAAGAGTATCTGAAGTTGACAAATGACTACTTGCTATTGAATTTTTGTTCTAACTTACTAAAATCATGAATTCAGCCATTAGATTGAAAAATGTACTTAGAACTCAAATGTATATATAACATAGGGGTGGAGGTGAGTGGGGGGAAAGTAGGAGGATGGCGGACTGCTTTTATAAAATAAATATATTCTCCAATAATTTATAGTATTTTTCTAATATAAGACACATTACTCTTCCAAACTGTAAAGTAAATTATCCACTGAAGATGAGAAACTATTGAACATTGCCAGTACAAGAAACTGGAAAGCCCTATCATTTTGTTCACTAAGCAGAATTATTAAGAAATTACACTAAAATCATTAATCAAACAGTTCTAAACAAATATATGGTTAAATACAAATCTTTTACACAAACACAACATATTAGCAACAGAACACATATCCTCTTAAGAGATAATGTTAATTTAAAATTAAGTAGGTTTGCTTCTAACACAAGTTTAATATGATAATCCTAAAGGAAGCAATTACTTAGGAAAGCAGTTAAAACACCCACCCACATTCATAAATGTCATTAGAGAAAGTGCTGTTGAATCATTCACAGCTATGTTAATTGCAGACAACCAAACTGGACTTTTTAGTTATCAAAACTAAAATGTGCACAGAAATGTCATTCTCCCTTTAGCATTTGATCATTTTTTTAAGGCTTCTAGCTCCATGACAGCCTATTTATATTGTGATTTTCTGGCCATAACAAAGAAGCATACTGTACCTCGGGTGTTGATGGCTGTTGCCGATGTGCCTGTGCCTGTTAAGGCTACAGTGGCTGTGACTGTTGCAGTGGTAAGGGAGGGGATGACAGTGGTGGGAAGCAAAATGTTGGAAACATCTGGTGAGTGGAAAAAAATATAACATAAAATCATATCATGCAAACATAGAGAAGCAGCATAACAATGATTCAGCTTGTCAATACACATGTGTAGAAAATGTATCCATTAAAACATGCTTAGCACAGACCAACAAAGGTACAGTAATATACTTTGAAATTCTTGACATCAGATCTCTCTCTCTCTCTGTCTCTCTCTCTTTCTTCTCTCTCTCTTTTTGAATGTTCAAACAGCAACAGACTGAATTTTGAACCAACCAACAAAGAAGATGATTCAAAACAGAAGTTTTGAAGACAGAGAGTAAATCTTTATGACAAGAATCCGTCTCTTTGCTAAGCCATTTTAAATGCCTCGTACGGTAAGAAAGCAAATACGGATGAAATAACATGCTGTGTCAGCGTGGGAGATGACAACACAATATCATCATGCTAAAACAAATACACGTGTTAAGTGATGGCTGTATGTTAAAACACCTACTTTTCAGACAGACTCAATGAAAAAAAAAAAGTGAGCAAATGACTACTAACTCTAAAAGCTGCTGGTTTTGCTTTGCTTGTCTTCTTCCACATTTTGTTAGAGACACAGTCATCTGCTAAGACCCAGAGCAGAGAACACATAAAAAAAACCCCTTAACTTTTATAGGGTTCACTATCATTCAACAGCATTGGTGAATATATTGAATATTAATTGCATAACACAACGCAATAGTTTATTAACCTTAATGTTTAGTGGGGGGGCAGTTTTGGGAGCTATTCACACTAATGTGCTACATAATTAAATGAGTGATCCATAGAGGACACTTACTGGAAAAGAAATAAACAAGCATTATCAGCATTCAGGTCATACTCTAAATCAAGGGCTGCTGCACATCCGTCTAAAGGTACTGCTGTTAAATCACATCATAAATTCCCTATTGCAAGCCTATGTGTGCATACGTGTGTATGGAAAATGTATATGAGACAGACATTTTAATACTGAAAGCACAATAAACAGAGAATGGGGGGAAACCCTCTTTAAAATCTGCACTGCCTGAAGCAAAGGTTTTTTGGGGGGGGGGTCAAAAAGACACAGAAGAAAGAGAAAGCATGGAAGAAAACAATTTAAAATGTTCAGAAACTTGGCTTTAAGCTCTGCATATCTAGGAAAGTAGCTACATAGACACAGTTAAAAACACCATTAGTTCAGGAATAGCTAATGATAGCTGTGATATTCTTTGGAAACCATAACAGAGCATTACCTCTGGGGGACAACAAAAAAGTAAAATCAGGTAGCATCATATAGGAGGATTATTTAAAACATTGAATCTTGAGGTTCAGAATATGTTAAGTATACCAGCAGCCTGGTATTCCCAGCTAATTATTCCAATAGTCTTTTTGATTTTAGACCTATTCCTAATTTTCATGCATAACAAATTATATTGTCATTTTAAAAGACTGCCTGTCCTTTCCCTAGTTAATACATTTGAGATACCCTAAAATGTCACATTCACATTCCCAACTAATTAGAACAAATAGTATTATTCTCTCAAATTTACTTTTGCAAAATTTTCATAAATTATCTATATAACTCCATGCTTACATCCTTGACATACTGACATTTAAAGCAGTTCTCCAGTAAGAGATAACCCTGGCTAGCAAAATTAAGGCAGGCTTTTCAAAATCTAATGTTGCCACATTAATCACAAGGACAAACTACAACATTGCCTGGAGAGCAACTGCCATGACTACTAAACAGAACTGACATTAGTCAACATTAATAATGGATACTCTTTTTTTTTAAAAGAAACAACTTGTGCATTCCTTTGCATTATTCTTTAAACAGCATAATTCATTTTAAAAATGGATAGGTTACCAATCATACATGAAAAAAAAAAAAGCCTGGAATTTCAGAGTATGTTTGCCATATAATAAATATCTTACAAGTGCTCCAGAAAAATAGTATTTTCAATGTTACATAAATAGAAGTGGCTAAGAAATATTGTTTGCATTAGTGAATATGTGCTTTGTAAATGAATATGTGAACTACAGCACAATCCTATGCCAAAATCCATTTTCATGGAGATTTCAAAGTAATGCAGAGGGGAAGAGCAATCGCTGAAGACCAGGAAAAGGTTCCCTATCTCTTTGATAATATATGGATAGGACTAACAAGGAATACTGTACCAAGAGCTATTTCTCCGGCTCTGGGAGCTGAACATAAGGTGATTCTTCCCTCAACATAGGAATCATGCCTGTTACATGCTGTGACTTAAAATTAAGTGTGAGATAAGCTTCACACAAAAATAAGACTTGGAAATGCTGTTGTTTCAAATCTGAATGGGAAGGCAATCAGCAATAGATTCCAGTAACCTTTGGGGAAAAAATAAAGTCTAAGGCAAGGTTTGGCACTGAAATACCCTTGGTTGTCCTGATAAATGAATTCTGTCAAGAGAGATACAAGAAGGTTATGACCTTATTAATTCTCTTTAAACTCCTGGCCATGAAATCTAGCAAAGCAAATTCTATGGGCTGGAATCAAAGTGATAAAGTGCTTTCAAAAGTAGTTCTGGGGTTTTTTGCTTGATTGCATGACCTAACGGGCAAGTTTCCTCCCCCCCCCCCCCCCCCCCTCTCCTCCCTCTTTTTTTTTCCCACCTTATCCTCTTACACTTTTTCTTCTTGTAAATTTGTTAGCGGTTTTTTGTTTTTCAGG